AAAAATATTGAAATGTGTAGAAAAATATGTAAAAATATGTGAAAGTGTTTTAGGATATACGAAAAGTATATTAAGATTATAAAATTTTTGACATTATGTACTTAACATGACCCCTTTTAAAATTATAAAGATAATAACAAATGTTTTGATTGGAAAAAAATAAAAATCACAAAAAATCACACAATTATATACGAAAGTTGGATATAAAAACTCTGCTTATATGTCATTATTCATGCTATATATATGCACATAAAATCTATTGTAGATAAGTGATGTTATTGATAAGAAATGATTTTATAATTTTATATAATGATTTTATTATATCCTTCTATTCATTTATTAATGTGTAATAAACAACGGATCTGAAGTTTAGATCAGAGTTTAATGTGATCAAACATTTAATATATTTAGCGGAGTACAAAATAACTTCTCAAATCTTATTTTTATCACTTGACAATTAATATATATATATATATTTGAAAAATGCATAATTTGAAAAGGACATCCACAAAACCAAAAAAAGGAAAACAAATATATGATTTCACTTATATGAGCATAATGCATGTTCTAGCTGTTGGAAAAGGCTCCACGTTTGGTATGAGGATCTTGTCAGGGCACATAATACAAAAACAGCAGTGCTGCATACTCTTAGTGGGGGTCGCACCCCCAGTGAGGTGTCGCGCCCCCACTGGTTGAAACTTTAAAATTAAAAAAAAAAAAAAAAACAGTTTTTTTTTTTGCCAATAATGGAGTGCCATCTCACTGGGGGTCGACCCCCAGTGGGTGTATGAGGCATTTTTCATACAAAAATTAAAAATATTATACATCTTTTATTACATTTATTTATATATATAATGTATAAACAGATAAAAAAAATTTAATATATACCCTAAGCATACACGTTAACAAAGCTTCCACATTAAGGCCTAGTTTGGGAAGACTAAATAAGTGTACTTTTTGACTTTTTATGAAATATGGGTTGGGTTTAGGTTGGGTTTGAAGTGATGTGTTAGAGAGATGATGTGACTTAAATAAGATGATGTGACTTAAATAGGATAGTGATTTTTTGACTTTTTGTCTTTTTTCATTAACAAAGCTTCCACATTAAAGGTACTCATTAAAAAATCTTTCACATATTTTAAAAATATCAAGTTAATGATGTTAAAAAGATCCATTTTTAAAATTTTCTTCACCAATTTAGAATTGATTCTACCATTTATCTATAATAATAAATTAATTTCATCACTTCCTTTAACACCATTAAAGTTATCGTTACAATAGATCACTGTAAATTTATCAAAATTGTAGTGCTATCCGTTATTTCTTTATTAATTGGAGAAGATAAGTGTAATTTACTCAAATAAATATTAAGTATGTTGAAATTTTTATATTTCAATAAATAAAATATAATAAGAAAAATAACACATCAACATATATATTTTTAAAAATTATAAATTAATAATAAATTTTACTAATATTAATAATTAAATTTTTTAATTTTTTTATGAATGTAATTTCTTTTCTTTTTTTAAAGTAACCACTCAATGTTAATTCTGGCCAAAAAAAGAGTTAAAAGACTTTGGCTCCGTTTGGAATGCACATTTGGATTAAAATAATCATATAAGACAAAATTAGTTATTTTAGTCAAATATGACAAAATATCATATCCAATTCATAAATATTTTATTTCTCTTCCACAAAAATCAAAAAAATTAAAAAATCTATCACAAACGAGACTTTTTTACCCGGATTAAAATGTCAAAATGTGAACTCATATTCCAAACAAACGCTTTATGACAAGACAAGTGCATGTCCAAGTGTTTTTACTTTTCATTTTTCTTTCACACAATTACAAATAATTTCTAATAACAAAATTTCAGATGATTAGTAATAAAATTTATGAGTATTAATAATTAAAGTCTTAATTTTTTTATATATTTATAATTATTTTATGAAATATCCTCATTAATCTAATCTTAATTACTCCAGTAATGATTCGCGAAGATATTGACACATCAAATTTTGTATTTTAATTTTTCTTTTCTTTTCTATGAGATGTGTAACCCATAATATATCATTTAAAGAGAGAGTAATTTAGCATGTAAAATAATAACATCATTTAGCGAATGAGAAAGTCTAATAAGTACACGCACCAATAATTTTTAGAAAAATGTTTGGGGGCCCTAATTCTGTGGCTCAAATGTGACTCAAATGGCCAAAACGACGTCGTTTTGGCCATTTTGATGTTGTTTTGTACTCAAAACGACGTCGTTTTGACCATTTGAGCCACATTTGAGCCACAGAATTTGGGCCCTCTACCATTGCTCTAATTTTTATATAATAAGACGCGTATGAGACAAAAGGTAACCCCATATGTAGAGACAGAAGAAATTCACTAAGGTAGTGATTAGGGACCCATATAATTGGTTCTAGAACCGTGTAAAATACTGTTCAAACAATTATATTGCAACCCTATTCATTAATGGAAATTTAAATTTTAAAATTTATAATTAATTTAAATTTTAAAATTTATAATTCACATTTGAAATTGTCCCGCTCTGTTATAGTTAATACATATATATTTTTTAACGTATAATAACATATCAAAGTAAAAATTAGTGTGAAAGAGATTTAATATGTAAAATTTATTACAAATTAGTAGTTATATATATGAAAAATATTATGTAAATTAGTGTTATATATTATGCAAAAGCTTAATAATTAGTTAAAATATTCTTCAATTTGCCAATCTTTTCAAAACAGCTCAAACCGTAATTTGTCAATCCGCCAAACTGCTATTTAATTTATAATTTTACTCTTAAACCACCCGAAACGCGCCATACACACTCCTAATTGGTTCTACATGTATGGTTACCTTTTCTTTCGTATCGGTATTGTTGGAAATGGTAGGAAAATTCTGGGTAAAACCAGAATTTTTTCTCAAGTTTGGTCTATTTTTTAGGTAGGCCCCGAGTGTCGATTTACTCGGGTCAAAGTGGTAACGCGTTCTATGCCGCGTTGTGATTCACGTGGTATATTTGGTTGCTCAAAACCATTACCGAGTGAATGGGAAATTGAAGCCAAAGTGTGCTCCATGGAAATGGAGTTTTGGTGGAAATTCCTTAAGGTTGTAAATTGGCTTGTCCCACATTGATTTGGTGGGAAGTTTTGAAAGGGTTTATAAGGCTTAGGGTGAGATACTTGGGGTGTGCCCCAAGGGGTACCCAAGTGTTTTAGAGGGAGAGGTTATGGGCAAAATGGGCTAGACCCATTGGACCCAAAAATCATCACACGCACGCCGCCATCCGTCCGGTTGGGTTGGGCTTCTAATCTTTTTGGGCCAAAAACATTTGAATTTAATTTTATTTTTTGGTAAAATAAAATCCAGAATTCAAATTAAACTGATTTAAATTTTCTGTACATCCAAACAAGGCCCTTCCCGTTTTCAAACAGAAATAAACTAGTTTGGAATTAGTGCACACCCAAACAGGGCCCTTCCCGTTTTTGCTTATCTGTTTGAATTGTTAACAGATTCAAATCTGTTTGAATTCAAAACCAACAGGTATCATACCTGTTCAATTTAAAACCAAGAGCCACCTTTACATCTATAAATAGACTAGCCTCCCATTTGAATTTCACTCCAATTTTCGTACTCCATTCTCTGTTTTAAATCTCTACATTTTGCTGCATCTTATTTCTGAAAGAAATAGTGTAAACACTTTGTGTGTTCGACGAACGATTAAATTGTAGTGCTGCTTTTATTCATTTCCGAAAAAAAGAGTGTAAACACTTAGTGTGTTCGTAAGGCAAACAATTTGTAGTGCTGCTATTGTTTGTGGTAAGATCATTTCATCCGGGGAGATAGGCGTCCAAATTCTGAAAGCACCGTGGAGAGGACGAATCTGTCTTAAGGACACAGTGTCAAACACTGGACTTGATCAGAAAATAATTCGAACAAATTAAATCAAGTAAGTTATTTAATTTATTTTCAGTGTTGTTTTTATTTATTAAAATCAGATTTAAATTTTGTTTTTGTAACAAAATAAAATCTGTTTTTATTTATTTATTTTTATTTCGAGTTTGATTTTTGTAATCAAACAAATTCTCTCCTTTTCTTTATTTCTTTAAATTCTAATTGTTGTTGTGTACATAATATAATTAAATCTTATAAATACAGTGAAGATTGTTCTACAGGTATCTTAACCAAAAAGTTAGGAATCTAGAAATATAGTCTAAGATTTGTACTAATTAAATTATGTCTTTATTTGAGTTGTGAGTTGATTTTTTAACTTTTTAAATTTTTTTTTGATTATTTTAGCTTGAGGCTAAAAAGTCTCGTTTGAGATGAATTTTTTGACTTTTTTAATTTTTATAAAAAAAATGAAATAATTATAATTTAAATGTGATATATTATCTTATTAATTTTTTAATTTATTTTATCTTTTTGCGACTAAAATATCTCAAACTAACATCCTAAACATATATGTGGTTGGAATTTAACCAATAGTGAGTTCTCTAAAAATCTTAAGGCCTCGTTTGGGAACAAGTTATTTTAGTAATTTTTTAATTTTTTTGTTAAAATATGAGGTAAAAAAATTAGTATGTTTTGGGTGATTTTTTTGCTTTTTACGAAAAAGTGTGCAAAAAGTAGAGAAAAAGTTAAATCTTTGAATTTTTGTTATAAATTATAGGTTTTTTGACTTTTTTTTAATAATTTTTTAACTTTTTGACTAAAATGTTAACTTGCCAAACGAGGCCACTAAATTTAACTAGTACATTGGGCCCATTTAAAAATTGATTATTTTAATTGATATTTTAATTTTTTATAAAAAAATGTACAAAAAATAAAAAGAAATTATAATTTTTTATTTCTTAATTAAAATCTTACCTTAATTTAAATAAATCTGAATCATAAATTGACTGAAATTTTTTTCTAAAAATTTTTGTGTATCCCTAAATAGCTATTGAGTCAAACAAAAAACAAAATAAAAAGCCATTTTATTCTTCGCAATCTCTATTCACAGTAGACTCATCAGAGAGAGAGACAGAGAGAGAGAGACAGAGAGATGGGATCCAAGGCAGAAGAAGAAAACAAGGAGGAGGAGGCAAGTTCCACACCAAAGCTTCCACTCGTCTTAACCATCCCACTACCTCTGCAGTCACCGGAGCATTCAGGGATGCTTACACCACCACTCCACACCTCTGCCACCGTCCCCTTTCGATGGGAAGAAGAACCCGGCAAGCCCCTCCCCTCCACCACCACCACCACCACCACAACCACCGCCATCACTCCACCACCATCACCACCAAACAAGTACTTCCTAGAGCTGCCTCCAAGGCTGCAGATAATGGAGTCCTCTAAAATGACCAAAATGCCCTCCCCTAATACAGTCCTAGATGGTCCTTATCATCTGGGTATGATGCCTCCTGTATTTAGGTCATCTTCTTTCAGGGTCAGAAGGCGAGAGCGTCAAGGGTCTTTTGGGAGTAGCTGTGAGAGTCCTTCTGAGAGAGGACAGCTTGGTGCCATGGTTTTTCTGAGCAAGGAGGAGAGAGGAGGAGGGTTGTTTGGTTCTTGGAGAAGAAAACAGCAGCATTATCCAAGAAAAGAAGTTATTGGTGGTGAGGGTAGTTTTGTCTTTTCATCTCCTTCTTCCATGGATTTGGCAGATTTTGTTGGTGGTGGAAAGGTGAAGAAGATGTCAAGGATTAGAAGGAACGGATCAAGCTTTTCCAGCCTCTCTCAAGTCAAGTCTCACTTCTGGGTAAGTTCTCTCCCCCTCTATAGTTCATACAGAAGTTAAATTAATTACAGAATCGAATACAATTCTTTCACATGCATACCAAAAAGTTAAATCTATCTGGTGTTGTGATCGCGTCCGGTTCTTTAACGCTGAGTTTGGTTAGAGGATTTGAAGAGGAATTTGAAAAGGGAAAAGGAAAATTTTGGTGAAATGTGAATAAAATACACTTACATTTCACCTATTTCACCTAGTTTCACACAATTTTTCTCTTTTTCTTTCCAAATCTCTCTCCATATCCCTCAACCAAACACAACATAAGTGTTTCTATACTCTTTTTTTTTTTTTTTTTTTTCTCTTTTGACAATTTTAGCCTAGGGTTACATAAGCACATAGACCCAAAAAAAACAAAATAAAACAAAAATAAATGAATATTAAATTTTTTTTTAAGTGTGCACACCACACCAATAATTGTTATAAAATCTTAATTACTCATCTTTTTTCTGTTTTCACATTAAATTTTTTTTTTTTTTTTAATTTAAGTATGCACACCACACCAATAATTGTTATAAAATCTTAATTACTCATCTGTTATCTGTTTTCTGTGTCCTGAATTGTGTTACACTATTGCACATTTAGACTTGGGATTCTTTAGGTTAATAAACTGTAGTGTAGGGCCATGGATATTTCAACCAACAGTCCATCACTGTTATTGATATTGAAAGTTGCTCATTTTTCCATTTTGGTAGGCTATGATTTGGTTGTGATTTTATTGCCCTATTACATTAAAGTAGCCAATGTGTGGTGAGGGGAAACGGTGTACTTTTCTTGTTGTACATCGTCTCTTAGATTTTTTATATATTGGAATTCTCATTGCAATTATGATTTATTTTAGTAATTTTTTAATATTTTTTAAATTTTTTATAAAAAAATAAAGATAGTGATACGATGATTTATAATGATTTTTTAATTAAAACCTAAAGTTGTCAAACAAGATGTGTAATTTTTTTTTTATAAATTTAAAGGTGATAAAAAAAATTAAATTAAATTAAAAAGCACTTTTTTCAACTTCCCACCAATTATCCTTTTCAATTTATTTAATTTGTTTTGTTTAATTAGCGGTAAGGACTCAAAATATTTTTAGAGTATGCTCTTGACAAATGATAAATAGCAAAACACAATCTGAGTTATCTTTTATCTTTTGTTTAATTAACAAAAATAAGTCATCATTATTCATTAATCGATAGTAACACGTGCACCATATGTCAAAATATTATGAAACTGATGAATAAATTACTTAGGGAGAAAGAAATTTTGGAGAGAGAGGATATATCATATATTATTAGCTAGCAAGTGGCACACGCGATTCGTGTACAATTCAGATAAATAAGAATAAAAATAAATAATAATAAATTAATATCATAATATATATGTTGTCTAAGTGATAAGAATGCTCTTAATAAACTATCTTGGTTCAAACCTTTCTTACGCCTTTGAATAATAATTTTTTTATTTTAAGCTAGATAAAGTTGTCACGTGGCATAAAGTGAAGGCTTGGATACCAAGTCTACGCTTCACTTAATAATAGTATTAATGGATTCGATGTGTGTGCTATTTAAATAACTAAGAATAAAAAATAATCACCTTGCTTGTTTCCACTTTTTAAAAAATACTTTTCAGAAAATTTTATTTTCTTATTTTCTGTATTTTTTTTTGTTTTTATTGAATTTTTTTAATATTTTAAGCAAGTTTTATGCTTTTTAGACACATCTAACATAAATACACCTAAAAAGTAAAAAAAATTGTAAAAAAAATCTTTTAAAAATTCACTAAATACCAAAAATACAAGAATTCAGTACATTTTTTATATTTTTATGTATTTATTAATTTTTTAAAATATTTTTTCACAAATTTTTTACTTTTTAGATACATCTAAGTAAGGTGCATCTAAAAAAGTAAAAAAAAAAGTTTAAAATTTAAAAAATATTCACTAAAAAAAAAACACGAAAATAAAAAAAGTCAACTTTCAAAAAATTTAATCCAGAAAACTCAAACCAAACACACTGAATAATATTGAAATTAATATTTTAATGTATGCTTAAGTGATATAAATCATCATCCCTTAAAACCATGGTCATGAGTTTAAAAATAAAAAACACTTTCACCTGACATGAGGGAGAACAAAACAAAAGTTTCACTATACCAATTGAGGCATCACTTAGGGTCCGTTTGGGAAGAACTAAAGTGGGATTTTTTGGTTATTTTAGCCACAAAAAACAAAATAGGCTATTTTAGTCACAAAAAATAAAACATCACATCCAACTCATAATCATTATACTCATCTCTCACAAAAAAAGTCAAAAAAGCCAAAAAGTCCTTCCCAAACCAAGCTTTTTAGCCCAAGCTAAAATAGCCAAAAAAGTCAAAAAGTCAACCCACTTTCCAAACAGATGCTTAATAATAGTACATAGCTATAGATATAGATATAGACATATAGGTTTCATTTGGAAATTAGATTGACTTTTTGGCTATTTTATCTTTGGATTAAAAAGTCTAGTTTGGGTTGAACTTTTTGATTTTTTTAATTTTTGTTAAAAAAAATAAAAAAAATAATTATAATTTAGATATGACATTTTGTTTTATTAATTTTTTAATTTATTTTGTTTATTTGTTTGTTTGCTTGTTTGTTTGTTTTTCTTTTCTTTTTTTTGTAATTATTTTAGTCTGATAACCCCTCAAGTGAGATGCCAAACGAGGGCATAGAAGATAGATAGACAGTTAGGTCAATATTTGTGCTTTTTCTTTTTTTCTTTTTTTCTTTTTTTTGAAGATGGGAAACATTATATTAATAAACAACAATATTATATAAATAAGACCCCAAAGGGTTAAATCTATCCCAAAAAAAACAGTTACAAGTCAGGAAAAATTATCGATCTTTTCAAAGATGTAGTCTGAAAAGTAAAATCTGTTTGAAAACTTGACGTCCCCATCACTACTGCCCAACTTCATTGCTGTCGTTAGACATCGAACACCGTTAGAAGGTAAAGTTGAGAAGAAAGTATACTTACAATGATATGAAAGAAGACTTGAGAGAAGGGAAACCATGTGAGTGTCAAAAATTCAAAAATCTATTTCCAAATTAGAATAGAAAACTCCCAAAATCTTTATTTTGGGTATAAAAAATCTAAACTTACATTTGAAAATTGTAGAATTATGCTCATAAGAGTGTAAATTTATATTTTAAAAGCGTAAAATGTATCACCGAAACATGACCGAGGACCACCGAAAATCAGCTTTTCTCTCTCTCTCTCTCTCTCTGAACTGAAGTCAATGTTTGCATAATTGGATGGTTGAAATAAAAACCTTAGCGATAATGGCAAATCTAAAAAGCCATACAGCTGGCAAGTAAAATCCAACAAGTCTTACTTTGGGAAGTTTGGTTTTGATTTTTTTTTTTTTTTTTCACTCAAAAGCAAATTGGTTACGAAATCAAAAAAAAATTAATTCAAATAAAATATCATATCAAATCTCATAATCACTTCAATTTTTTATCTCACAAACATCATATCTAACTACAAAAAAATCAAATTATCTTTCCAAACACAAAAAAAAAAAAATTTCGAATATCTTACAACTAAAAAAATCCACGTTCCAAAAACCCACTCCATGTCGAGGGAGGCAATACATTTTGTTTGGTTCTGTTTTTAAATTTATTAAAAAATATATTAAAAAAAGGTACTATAAAATTATATTTTAATTTTTTGAATTAATTATTTTTTAGTTTTATTATCTTTTAAAAAATAAATTTGAAAAAGACAACAAACTGAGCTCTAATAACTCTAATTAGTGTGTGAGTCCCATGTGATGTAATGTTTTGACTTTATTTATTTATTTATTTATTATTTTTCAAATCATTAATGCTTTTTTAGAGCTTTCAAATTAGAGGATATATCATTTCTGAATTATTTATACATATTAATTTTCAAGTAATTACACACAACAACAACAAAAAATGGTGTTTTTAACTAATATTTATTAATTTTCTTTTCATACATCAAAAAGGTTAAGGGTTCATCTCCTATATATGAAAAAAGATAATTTGTTTCCTCTTATTTTTGGATATTATGCTTCATTTTCTTGATTATTATCTTATTCTGCTTATTGATTTCCTGCATTGTAAAAATATTTTACAGGCAAGTATATATGATGGATTGAAGCAAGTGCTACCATGGAAGAGTAGAAAATCGAAGAAAGATGGGTTTATTATTTGAATCTGATCTCTTTCATTCTTGTTGAACCAAACATCCAAAAAGTCTTTGCCCAATCTTTTGTTGGTTTCAGATTTTCCAGAGGTTGAAATTTATAATCTCAAGAAAAGAAAAGAAAAGAAAAAAATGTACTGTACTACATAATACACGGCAAAAAGTCCTGCTCCCTGACTTAAGTGCCTATGTATCCACCTATAATTCTTGTGTGTTTGTTTTTTTTGTTTTTTTTCATGTATAAAGGCAACTCCGTTTTTCTTTCTTGTAATGAACCGAGTAATGAATTATTCAAACTTAATTTGTTTATCTTGCTTCAATGGAGCCGATCATAAGCTAAACTTGAGTAGCCTAGTTTATATATATAATTCTATAGTGAGTACAAGCTTATCAAGCCAAGTTCATGGCCCTAATAACACGTACCAAACTGATCTAAAATAATTTTTTAACAAACTCAACATAAATCCCTAGAAACATGTAATGAACTGATCTCGAATAAATTTTTAAAAAACTAAATATAAATCGAACTTGAATAATTTAATTAATTTTATGGCCCCTAACAACACCTAATGAACTGATGTCAAATAATTTTTAACAAACTTAAACATGAAATTGAACTAGAATAACTTGATTCATTCTACGGCCCTAGGTAACATATGCCTAATGTGGAAATCTGTAAAACCTAACAATGTGTAATTTATTTCAACTTACAAGATGCCACAAAGACACCATGCATCATTGTCTGTACTCCAACCTGAACTGATAGAACATAATTTAACTGTAAGCTAAAACAAATTAAGCAACCACTCAAAACATCTATTTAGCACTAACAGCACAAGAACTCCTTTGTCGAGCCTCCAACTCCGGTTAAATTTCAGCTCAACATCATTTGAAACTAAACTCATTTATTCATGGTTAACTCTTCTATCCTCTTGAAGTTGGGATACTCCACACTTCATTGAACCCGTTAACATAAATGCAACACAGATTACAAATAAATGTTTTAATTAGTGAGATTGTTATGTATTACTATTACAATGATCCTCCCTGATCCCAGCACTTCCTATCAGTAACAAGGCAAATTACCACAATTTTTTCCTTGGCATTAGTAGGCACAAGAAGATACAGCTGTACAACTAGACAAGACCAGTATATATCCCCCACTTGGCACAAGTAGACACAACTGTACAACTAGACAAGTTTATATCCTCCCCTTGGCACAGGTAGACACAATTGTACAACTAGACATAACTACCAACTGATAGCTACAACTCCAGGGCAAATTGTGAAACATTAAAGCCCTTTTACCTATCCAGCTGTTTATCAAACAAATTAGACAAATCAAACCCACAGCTAACCTCTCGATATTCTTCCTATTTTCTTCAAATATTAAAGCTTGAACAAAATAAAAACAAAAAATGTCACAATTAAACAAATACTTTTAATATGTGAAACTTTTTTTAATCATATTCCAGTTGGGGTAATATCTGTCAAAACACTTCCAGTATACAATACTACTAATAGAGCTTATAAAAGGCGTGTCAATGAAGCACAAGCATTTCAAAGCCCCAATGATGAACTAAAGGTTTAAGATCTAACACGAGGCCTTTAAAGGACTGGGAACATCATTGTGACAAGACATAAAAATGCAATCAAGTACAGACAACCAAACATGCAGAACTAAGCTTCTTATGGAGCTCATCCAATTCCGATTGATAGCATGAGAAACCACATGTTTTAACAGCATTAAAATCCACAAGCAAAAATAAAGGTGAATAACCAGTAGCAACAATAATTCTCTGTTCTCACATGATAAAAAAATCTTATTCCAATCTCTAATCAGAGTAAGAGGGGAAGGGGAATGGAGGCAGGATAAGACAAATCATTGCTTACTTCTAATATCCATACTACCCTTGTTTTTTACCGGTCATACCTGCAACCACCTGCAAAGATGCATTCCGAATAATCAAATTAGTTAAAATTACCCGTGCACAAAATTCTTCCATCAGGTACATATGTATATTTGAAGTAGTACATAAAATGCCCGTAACGTAAAAAATTCACTTTCGAAATGTTGAAATGCATAAAAAAAAACCTTAGGGGTAAAGTACATGGTTTTTATAGCGGAAGAATCCTAGTAATTTTTCTAGGCAAGACATCAAATAGGAGCCCAAAACTCCAGTTATCAAGGTCTAGAGAAAGCAGCTGGGAAGCACTAGGGTCTACAAAAGGCAGCTATTGGAAGATGCCTAGTGATTACAATAACATCCCAATCTCATCATACCAGCACCAAATATAATATAAGGCCCTCCATTTGATAAGTCATACAGTTAATTAAATTACTAAGAAACATCAGATGGAAGGACTGGAATACTGGCATTGCAAAGTCAGTAATGCACTGGACATTCCTATATAGATTAGCTGTACTGCGTGCTGACATGATGTAGGGTGAGTAAACAGAGCTGCAGACATCTCTATTTTAGATTTGGCCAATACCAACTTGAGCGTAAAAGATACCACCACAACTTGAAGATAACATAGATTTCAGGTACAGATGTTCAAGCAAGATTCCTCAAATCAGCCATAAAATGTTTTATCTGAAAATTATGCCATTGACCAGTAAATGACTTTTTCTAACATACAAAGCACTAAGAACTCTTAGCTTCTGCGTAACTATAGTGTATTAAACATTCAGATGTTATTAAAAATAATAATAATTACCAGGACCAACATTGGGTAACATCCTTGCTTTAAAAAAATAATTAAAAAAAAAAAAAAAAAGAAGCAGCAGAAATTAAGCAGATCCTACTATGGCAAATCAAGATAGTATTTAATAAAAGTAGACATATTGGAAAATTCAGTACTCACATCATTCAAAGCAGGAGGAGGTACTTGCTTTGAAGTTTCAAAGGAGTCCAGTATGGGTCTCACTACAGCTGGAAGGAAAAGGCCTGAAATATTCACAACAAAGAAATCAATAAGACTAAAAAAAAAAGAAAAACACTCCCCATACAACAGTTGCTACATTCAGATTACACTATTAGTAGTAATTTCTTTGGGTACTAACACAAGTGTCATCACTCATCAGACATGATTATTGAACCAAGTTGCATGTTATAAACATCCACAAATTCCAACTACTAACTTACGTGCCAAAATAACACTTCTTTTTTCTGTAGGGACAGGAAGAAACAAGCTTAAAATCTCACGAGTTGCAACTATTTGGGGTTGAATTTGGTACAAATCTCCAAATGTTTTGCTCTATCCTTCAAACTGTTTTTTATTCACGAGGAATGTTTTCTGATAGGAAAAGCACCAAACTACCCCAAATTTTTATTTTTTTTGAAAAAGCCCCATTTGTATAAAGATTTCTTTAAAATCCCATAAACTATTAATGTTTTTTTAGTTATTAGCAATTAAAAAAAAAATTCATCCACCATGGCCCTTTCAATTTTTATTTTTCGTTCACTGTGGCCCTCAATTTGACAATACCGGCTCGATCCTTACTCACTGCATATACAAGAAAAAGAAAAAGTTTCACTCCTATATGTTTATATAAGCAAGGATATACAATTCCCCCAAAATTTCAAAATCATCTAAAGAAAAAGAAGTCTCTCTAAGCAACAAATACAAGGAGAAAAGCATTCTCTCTTTCAAACAAAGAACCAAACTCTCCAAATTTCTAAAATGTCTTCTATTTCTCTCATTCTACAAACACCACATAAGGCACAACACAATACACTCCCACGCCTTCCAAAACCTCCCACTCAGGCAACCTTTACTAAGACTAAAATAACTTCTAAATCGATCCACACATCACATCACACTCCACTTCAAAATTTGAGAAGCACACAAAACTCCACGCCTCCTTTGCAACCGTGCTATATAAAATAAGATGATTCACACTCTCCCCCTTTCTTGCATATACAACACCAATCCAACAAGAATACTCTCATCCTCAAATTATAGGACATCAAAATAGACTAAAAGCCGCCGTTTAAGCAAAGAATGCAACTTTTTCGAGCACCCTGTAAAGGAGATCTTGACCTCAATCCCCTTTTATTTTTAGGCCTCGTTTGGAAACCCTCCTTTTTAGCCAAAAAATTGCTAAATTAGCCAAAAAGCCAACAACCCATACCAAAATGTCAAAGATTCTTTTTTCTCTCTACTTTTTGCACATCTTTTCGTAAAAAACCAAAAAGTCATCCCAAACATACTAGTTTTTTTTAACTCATATTTTAGCCAAATAGCAAAAAAGTTACTAAATTAGCCTGTTCCCAAACGAGGCCTTATTCCTACCCTCCATAAACCACTAAGTTGATTCTATTAGAACTTGTAGAACACATTTAAATAAGTTTCACTCAATAGTAATAGGCCAGAAATTATATGGAGTCCTACTTTTCTATCAAGAATTGTTTAAGAAAGATTATGTCTGTCCAACACTAGTAGGTTTGAGTTTTCAAACACTGGCCAGAAGGGAGTGCAACAAAAAGGCAAACAAACATGCTTAGATTAAGTAATGCGAGCATTTTCCACTAATATCCTAATGTTACTTGACAAAATACAAGGAACAGTTTATCTCCACTAAGTTTTGCATTTCACAAGGGTAGCTCAAAACCCATTTTTGGGTATGATTTCACAGCCATGTCATTCTATAATATTCATTACAAGAATCACCAGATTTGAGCCATGTCATTCTATAATATTCATTACAAGAATCACCAGATTTGACAAATCTAAATCCTAAAGACAGTAGACCTGCACAAGTGGGGGGGAAAAAAAAAAAGAGTAGCACAAATTACGAACTTAACTTCTATGGCATACATGATGACCAGCATCAGCAGAAGACAATAACCTTTCGGAAAATTGCCACTCAAATGCCACCATATACTACTATGATCATACTATCAAAGTACTTACAAATCTAGACAGACTAACATCCACCCACACAAACACACATGAAATTAATACAATTGCAGGCCAATGAATGGCAAATCGATGAAGTCTATTTCGATGAATGGATTTTAAATCAAGAGATTTGAGATTAAATTTCATAAAAAATATTGGTGAGTTAATTAAGAGAATCTTTGGCATGATTTCAAATAACTAGTTTTATATAGTTACTTGAAATCCATCATGATAAAGCTTGAAATTCGTAGGCAAACTATGAAATCAATATTTGAGTTTCAAAACCATAAATACAAATGAACCTAAATTTTAATCAAACAATTCCAATTCCAATGCCATTACCCTTATACAATGATTTCTAGCCTTAATGACTACATAGGTCTTCTTCTTGGAACAAAATTAAAAAACAATTAATTAGATAACAAGAAACCATAATCAAATTGATGAGAAACAACTCGGAAAGCATAATCTGAAGTTAAAATAGAGATCTTTGGGCAATACAAAATCAAATGAAGTACGGTTTATGATTATGAGAGAAAGAAACAAAATTATGAACTAGTTAAGAAGTTAGGGTTTGCAATGAATGGGGGATGGAGGTGTGCGTACCAAAGCCAGCGATGAGGCAAGAAGCAGCGACGACAGGCTCTTGCACCACGAAGATCTTCAGCTTCTCCATCACCGGCATCTCTTCTTCTTCTTCTTTTTCCTCCTTCGACTGTGCTCGTCTCTATCTCTGTCTCGATCGAAAATTCGAAATGGGCCTACAATTCTCTGTAGAAACAACAGTCACAGTGTGGACCATATGTGATCGTGTGTCGGGTCGGGTATAAGGATCCGGAAAAGTTTAAGGGGACGATTTGGCAACTTAACAAAATAATTAAAGTCATCATAAAGATTTTTTTTTCTTTATTTTTTACACAATTTTTTATTAAAAATTTAAAATAAAATTTATTTAAAAGGTCAATGTCCAAACTACTCCTAAGACCATCTCCAACGTTGCATCAGATTGAGCATCAAATTTGAATTTGATTCTCATTTCAATAATTTCACCAAATTGATATTAAACTGAGAATGGAGCAAATGTTGGAGCAAATGTTTCATCCAACTGAGGATCCGCGTGGCCCACCGATCAACCTGTCGAACGTCCGGCCTGGTGACCCGCCGATCGACCAATTTATTGAAAAAATACACAGCTACTTCTATTTTCTAATGAACCCACAATGCAAGTTCCATGTAATTTTCAAAAAGACCAAGATGGGAACAATGATAAACCCCAAAAGCAAAATCCATAATACAGAACCCCCCCCCCCCCCCCCCCCAAAAAAAAAAAGATTAAAATTTAGACTATGAAACTAAAAAAGATATATAACAAAAGGAAATTTTTAAATTTGGCTGTGATTCCAACTTTCATGATTTTCTTTCTGAGATTCTCAACAACCAAACAATGAATTTCAAAAAATCTTGTTCAATATTACAGTCATTGATGATGAACCCAAATACCAAATCATTACATTTTGGAATTAAAAGCTAAAGCAGTGTATGAGAAGTTAAAATCATACACAGAGCATTTCACTCTCTGTCTCTCTAGCAGTCATGACTGTGGTGGGAGCAAAGAGAGGAAGAAGAGAAGAGGGTTTTAGAGAGGTTTAATTGATTGCAGAATATGAATCATATTATCATTTTTTATCTCATAGACCTCCAACCTTGAAGAAGAGTCTTGACTGTGGTGGGAGCAAAAAATAAATATTTCAGTGCCTTTTCCGGTCAATCGACTGGTTGTCCAGTCGAACATCTTTGATGCAAGCTACAGTGCAACCGTTGGAGTACCTTGTATCAGATTGAGGAAATCGTTTTTTTTTCTCCTCGAATTTGATGAAAAAAATGATTCACCATTGCAGATGCTCTAAGTTAGTGTTTGAAAATATAAATAAAGTCAATAATACCATCATAATCACATTTGTTTTATTATATTTTAATTTTGATTATTACGTAATGTGTATAAATAATACTAGAGTTCTTAAAAATTTTACCAAAAATTTAACCAAATGTCTTACATGGTGTAAGTCACACACCCATCTAAGACATTTGATAGAAATTTTGATAAAATTTTTAAAATCTCTAATATTTTTGTGTTATTATGCACTTAAAATGATGATATTAGAAATGATAAAATAATTTTTAATACTCTCAAATGTGGTTAAGATGACTTTTCTCTAATTAGAGAGTTGAACTTTGATTCTCTCAATTTCATATATGTAACGGAGAATTTTCATTATATATCTAATAGTTATGATTAAGAATGTAAATTTATAGTAATTAATTTAAATTAAAATATATCATTAATACTATATGTATCAATTGGTATATCATTAGTGTATTAACAGATGATGTGACATAATTTTAGAAGTTTTGGATATTTCAGTAATAGTGTCATAACATATGTTGGTACACTAAGTAGTATACTAATTGGTGCATGTAGCACTACAGTTATAAATATGAACAACACACAGACTAGGGGTGAGTATGGTCCGGATTGGGATATAATAATACAGTTACTACACAACGGGTCCCAGGTGGAATGGGTCGGACTAATCCACGCTTCTTCAACCGGTAACTGAGTGTTTAAATCCACCAGAGAACCTGCACACAAGTTCAACAGGGGAACGGGGAGTCCCCCAGCGAACCCTCCGACGAGCAAGTTAGAGAGAGAAGTGGAATGTAGAGATATGAATTGGAGATAGAAAACTTAACCTTCTTTTTGTCTTCAACGTTTGCTTATATCCTTTGGTAATCATTTCGCCGTCCCTTCCGACCTGCCACCTTGGCCGAAAATCTATGCTGTAGCTTACCTTGTTCAGGGTGAGCGGGTGTTGTTCCGACGGAGAGGTATTGTCGTAATAAATGCTGTAATGGACTGCATTTAATAGCGATGTGCAGTGGCAATAACTTTGCAGATCTTTGTCTGCTGATGTGGCTTGTCCTTTACCTGCCACATGTCTGAATATCATTGGTTCTTCGTGCTATGTTAGCTTCCAACTGTTCAGGATCTCATCAGTTGGGTTATGTTTGGGCTCTAAGTGATGGGCTTGGGTTGTTCATAGTGGGCTATGACCTTTGTGGGCCTAACCACATCAGTAGTCCCCCATTCCTAAGTGCAGCTTTAGCCTAACGAAGGAAATACTAATGAAGAAGATGAGGAGGACCAACCGCGAAGGGTGGCCGAGTGGAAGGGCCGACCATGAGGAGGGCCGACTGCAAAGAGTGGCCAAGTGGGAGGGCCAACCATAAGGAGGACCGACCGTGAAGGGTGGCCGAGTGGAAGGCCCAACCATGAGGAGGACCGACCGTAAAGGGTGGCCGAGTGGGAGGGCCGACCATGAGGAGGACCGACCGCGAAAGGTGGCTGAGTGGATAGGCCGACAATGAGGAGGACCGACCGTAAAGGTTGAGGTGGAGGGGGCGCAGGGCTCAAGAGGCAGCGTGTCACGTGATGACTTGAAGTGGAAAAGACATAGTAAGGGGGAGTGGCAATGAATCGTGATCGTACAGGTGGCAGCATCTCGTGGAGAGGGAGATTAGACATTGGGCCAGAAATGAAACGATAGGTCATAATGGGTGTTGGAAAGACAGTTTTGGCGGATGTTTTGAAAAGTTTTAAAACTGGCGAAAATTAATTGTGACTATGGGCAAGCCTTGAGCTTTTGGTATTATTCGATTTGCCTACTTCTTTGCAAAAAATCAAAACATTCCAAGTGTTAACTCCTTTGTTGCTGACGATACACCTCTACGACATTTTTTGAATTTCCTTGCGCCCGCATCCGAAGCTATTCGTAGACACACCACAGAGATGGCCCAAGAAGAAGCTGGAATCACCAGGGTTGATCCATTTAGGGATGACGATGAGGTGGAGTTGGCAGAGCAGTACAGGGCGGAGAGGCAAATAGAGAGGGTAGGGGAGCCGGCGGTACGATCTCATTCTTCCACCACGATGGCGGCCCCAACACCGATAAGCCAGGTGGAGCCAGATCATTGGCATACAAAGGCTAATAAGTCGATCATTACCCCGAAAGAGCTGGAGGGGATGCGGGAGAAGTACCAGATCCCCGTAGAGATAGAGTTGAAACTGCCGGAATCAAATGAGAGGGCGTTTGATGCTCGACTGGGGGAGTTCGCCCTATACGAGAAGGCACTGAAGGAAGGGTTAAGGCTGCCCCTCCCCCGGATAGTGGTGGATGTACTGAACCGGTTAGAGGTAGCCCCAGGCCAGCTAATGCCCAACGCGTGAAAGATCTTGCTGGCTTGTGCGAGTGCCTGGCCGAAGGCGAACGGGGGGGCTGAAATGACAGTGGACGAGTTTTTTGCGTGCTGCAAGGCGTTAGGGCAGCAGGAGACTTGGGTTACCCTGCAGGCAGCAGTAAGGAAGGGGTTGGTGGCGGGGCTGCCGTCGTCGATCAAGGGATAGAGGCCGCGGTGGTTCTATGTGTCCACCAATGGAGGGGTTGGGGTACGGACAATTTGGAAAGTGCCCACCAAATCGATGGAGCCAAGACTGGGGACAGCAGCGGAGGAGAGGGTGAAGGAATGGCGGGAGAAGGAGGGGGCCAAGTGGGACAAGCTTGTTCAGCCGTCAGCCTTGTTTGCGGCAGGGTTGGGTCCTCAACCGAACAGTGGAGACCTCGACACCTTCAGCCTTGTTTGCAGCGGGATTGGGCCCTCAGCCGAGCGTTGGAGATCTGGGACGGGCTAAACTAGAGGCGAGGAGGAAAGCGCAAGAGGTTGAGGATATGGCCATCCTTGCCAAAGCCAGTAAGTTCAAGGAGTCGCAGGAAGACCGACCGCATAAGCCGATCGCGGGGGAGAGGATCCGACCGCGCCCAAAATCGTTGGAGGAAAAAGACTTGGGCGAATCTGAGCCACGACTGCCCCCGATTGATCCTTTGAAACAGAGGGCCAAGGAGATGGGCAGTGTGGGGAAGAAGAAAAGAAAGGTGAGGAGGAGTGAGGGGGAGCCTGCCTTGAAGAGGAGGGAGGAGATGACGCCAGAGGAGACCCCCATGGCCCAAGAGGCAGAGGATGAGGGAGTGGGGGAGACCCTAGGAGGGGTGGTTGCCTTAGGAATGGTGGAGATCGCCTCAGAGGTCGTGGAGGTCGTCCCAGTAGTGGTGGAGATCGCCCAAGAAGTTCAAGTAGAGGGTGGGGCAACTGGCCCTGAGCCAAGGGTAGAGGAACAGCCCCAGAGGGGTCCTGCGCCCCAAGGAGGGGGGATTAGGCTGACGGTTGTTATCTACCACGCCCGCATGGTGTCTGGGCGGCTGGAGGGAGAAGAAGGCCCAGCCAAGGCAGCTGCAGATCGCCTTGTGGGGATAGTGGATGATGCAACCGTTCGTTCGGTGGCCAGGTTCAATGAGGCTGAGCTGCTAAGGGGGTTATGCTCTGCCCAAATGGAGGTAACCACCTTAGTTGGGGCTCTGCTGAGAAAGGCGACGGTTGCAAAGGTCAAGTCGGATGAGGTCAAGGCTCAACTTGCAAACTTCACAAGGGAGAGTGCAGGGTGGAAGAAGGCTGCGTGAAGCGCATGCTCCAGTGGTTGGCAGGAAGCTAAAAAAGCTAAAAAGATGCAAGTGTTGGCCATTGTTCACCGCAATGTTGCCGACCGAGCCCAAGCTGAGCTGATCGCGGTCAAGTTGGAGCTAGAAGACAAACGCCGGCAGGTTATGTCGCTCGAGTTCCAGCTGGCTAGTGAGTAGAAAATGCTGTGGGAAGCTCAAAGGGCC